ACGCATTTAGACACACAAACAAATGAACACACACACACATACACACATACATACTCGCATGCCCACACACATACATACATGCATACAAATTATACATACATACATATACATACACAAACACACACACATCTATATATATATATATATATGTGTGTGTGTGTGTGTGTGTGTCTGTGTGTGTGTGTGTGTGTAGGTATGTATGTATATACAGTTGGTTGTGCGTGTGTGTGTGTGTGCGTGGGTGTATGTATGTGTGTGTGTGTATGTGTGTGTGTGTGTATATATATATATATATATATATATATATATATATATATATATATATATATATACCTATACATTCATGACGTTTCCTATGTTTCCTAGAATGTCACTTCTACTTGATTTTTCGTGACTTCCGCTAAATATCACTCAGCCTGACCTTTCACAGCCCAAACCTTTTCCATTCACAGCAAAAAGAACTTTATGAAAGAGTTTACGATACCAGTTCAATATTGCAAAAGGAGTTGGCTTATCTATCTATTTTACTTATTCTTTGCTTAAGATGACTTTACGAAGGGAAAAGTGCAATCAATGTAAATTCTGAAACATTGAACGCCAGGTGATATACAGTTTTTTTTTTCTGTATGTCTAATAACCCAATACACTGTGTTAGTTTAGGGTCAATATATGTAGATTTCTCTGAGATTTAAGCATGAATTACAAATCATAGAAAGTAAATCAAATTTCGCGAATATTGCACTCAAAGACAGCACCAGAATGACGTTTAGAAGACTAACGATAAAGCCATTTGTCAAAACGAAGAGGACTCGCCTTGCGTGCAGCCTAAGTAGCCTTTACGGCCCCTTTAACTACGCCATAGTCACCCGTCACACCTTTTTGCGCGGTCTTTCGCATATTTTTTCTCCGCGGTCTGAGACTACCGGGGAAGAGTCCGTAAAAGTTTGTCAACGCGCGGGACCCGGACCGGCGTGCAACGGGGTCAGGCGGCGGAGTTGCGACACTGCCCTGATTTATGGCTCGAACCCGACTTGGAAATCTTGGACGTCTCGGTTGTCCTGCGCTCCGGATACTTCGAATGCCGACGCGACGATAAACACTGCCGAACAAATTACCAGAGAGTGATATGATCTGCATCTTAATCAGCTTTACATGGCCTACGATTGGCCATTTACCATAAACGTTGTGAAGCTTTTGAGTTTCGTGGTCTGATTCCGACGCAACAAGTGTGTCCGCGCTGGAGGCTATGATGAATGTATCATCTGGAACTTGTTTTTAATTGAAATGTCAAGTTTCTTGCAGGTCTCAACTTATTAAAATGATATTATGCAATAATGATATGCATGCGAAGACAATTTGCAAGTTAAAGATAGTATTGTTTTTCAAATTTGTAGCCTTTAAAGCTAGTAATTGAAGCCGAGGAATTTCGGTAATCTTATTCCTTGAGCAAACAAAGCCTTGTCCTCCAACGCGGAGTAAAAGTCTGAACAAAGACTAGCTGCCAGCGTCGGTGTCACGACAGATGGAGGACCAGAACAATACCAATTTATGGCCCCGTCCTCTCCCTTTCTCCTTTTCTCCCCGTCACCTTTTTTTTCCCATTTCCCTTTCGTCCTCGGCACGAAGGAGAATTTTGCTGCCGCCGACGAACGCTTTCTCTTTCGTCTGAGCTTTTCTCTACTGTAAAATGTACACAAACTACTGCGACGGCAATTAGAGGGGCGCGTATAGAGTATCGCGTTGCAGACCGAACCCTGTCCAGGTATTTCACTCTCTTTCTCAAGAAACAGCTCTGCGTTCTCGAAGCCCCACGCTGTTATACGAAGGCTTTGAGAATATAGGATGAATTTAATTTAGCTAACCACATCCCGTGAAAATATGAAACCAGCCAATAAAACTGTTGTAACTCTGCATTTCAACATTTAAGGTTCAATTCCACTCTTAAGAAATTTAAAATGCTAAACATTTCTGAACTCGAAAATACACACCATGTATGGTTATGGACTTATCTCGAAATCCCACGCGCGTTTGGGGGTCGAGAGTGGGGGGGGTGGGTCAGTGTGAGTGTAAGTGTGCGTTTAACGTGTGCGTGTGTACGAACAATATATCAGTCATAAGCGGGGGGGAAAAAAAGGACAAAAGCACGATTCTATCCACGTGCCTTTGATGCAAGTCATATCGCTCCTTTTGAAGCAAAGAGAAAGAAAAAAAAAAAACACAAGACATTAATCCGCCACATCTAACGCATTCTTTCCCTCTTCAGAAGGAGTTAAGACAAGACAGTCAAACGAAACGTCTCCTGGCACTGTATCGTTTCAATTTGCCGCTTGATTAAAACAACGAATTGGATTTCTGTGATATCGTTGCAGGTACGGCGGGGAAACTAGGTCGTGGAGAAGGGGGCGGAGCCTCGATGGGCAGCAGGTGAAGAGGAAGTGGGCGGAGTCACTCGGGCAGAGATGGAAAGTTATGCAGGATGAGGGGAGTGGGGAGCAAGGGGGAGGGGGAGGAGAGAGAGAGAGAGAGACGGACAGAGAGAG